TCAAAGTAAATACTAATTCATAGGAAAAAGATGGAAAACACGTAGTTAGGACTCGGAACAAGGCGCAAAGCCTGACTCTCTGCTACAAGACCTTACGCAGAATATTCAACCTGCCTTGGCTTCGGCGTATCCAGCGGTCCAGTGGAGGTTTCCATTCAGTTATCTCTCCTTTCCTCCAGCTTTCCACTGATGCTTCAGGAGCCTCGCACCTGAGTCCAAGGCTCACAGCTCTTAACACTGTGGCATCTGACCTCCCTCTGTCGACTCTTCATCAAGTTCAGCCCTTGACTTTAGAAATCATAGAAAAAAGATAGGGAGACACAAATTAATGTGTCCCATGTTATCTAGATATTTGTGTACAATTTCAGATTTAGTGTCAATGGTTGATAGTGTGGCACTGTATTAATTTTGCTGAGGGCCTAGTTTGTGTAACAAAGTAACCCTGAAGTAGAGTAACTTATGGAGAACTGATTCTCTTCCTCCCACCCCACCTTTCCCTCAAGGGGAGTGGGCCACATTTATTTGGGGGGAGCAAAAAGCTTGGCTCCGCACAGTCATACAGACCCCTAGATTCTTTCTATTTTGTTCCTCTGTCATTCCTAATACTTTATCATTATCTGCAGGACTTACACTGGAATAGACACTTTTGAGTGTGGACTATGAGAAGCTCATGCGTGATGTGTTATGGCCCAGACTGGAAGTGGGTGCCACACCCCCACTCACGTTCCCCGGGTACACACTCCCAGGCCTACGTCTAGCTGCCGGGAAGGCAGGGAAATGTGGCCTCGAGTCCGAGAGCCAAATGTGCGGCTGTGACATTGTCACGGTGGAAGGAGGGGTCGGAGTTTGAAGACTAATTAGTACTCTGTTCCACTGAGTTTCTGGGAAGGGCTACTAAATGTTTGGGCAGGTATGGGCATGGCATTCTGTAATAGATGCACAGTCTTTATTTTTTACCAGTAAACAATAGCCCTGGCCTTTGTGAACCTATTATTTAAGAGTAGAGCTAGACTCCCTGTGCTTAGAAATGTATTATTTCTGAATTTAATTGGCAAAGCATTAACCCCCTCCTTAAATATCACACCATTCAACACATGCAAAAATATCCAACTCCCCCTCTGTCTCCGCTGGGAGGCATTCGGACAGCACAGGATCTTTCTAGTCACATCCTTGGAATCATTCTTACTGCAAGTCAGAGAAGAGGCCTTGAGCACGGAGCTTGTCTTCGTCGGAGAGGGAGGGCCCCACTCTGCTGGGGACCGGGGAGAGCAGAGTGCTCGGACCCCCTTAGGAGTCCAGTCTAGTGAGATGGCAATTAAAATAGTCCTGTGACGCATCTTCCACTTGGAAGAGCTTGTCCCTGCTTGTATTGCTCAGCGATGAAGAAGCCAGCCTGCCGGAGCTAAGGCAATGCTTCCCCTGAGGGGTAAGGTAGCCTTAGTGCAGGTCAACATCTCCCAGGCAGAGCAGTACCTTTAATGGTCCTGTTTGTTTTTTTGTTTTTGACTTTTCCAAAGGTAGTGGTGGGGGCTTGAGGAGGGGGAGGGTGAAGACCGTGTTAGACATTTGTTTTCTCATTGATGGCCGGCCAAGTGCCTGGGATTCCTGTTCCTCACATGGCACAGAGCAGAGCATCTCAAACGTCAACGTGCGGGAGAATCACCTGGCATCTTGTTGAAATGCAGGCTCCGTGACAGGGCCGGGAGCTGGGATGCTGCTTGTCTAACAAGCTTCCAGGTGATTTCCGTGCTGCTGATACCAGACATGCACTTTGAGTAGAAAAGGTAAAGCGTATTTTATTAGGAAGATTTGAGCGTCTGCTGTCCTGATGTGCGGTCTTTTCTCTAACACTTTGGCTAATCAATGGGTGGAATGGTTCAGCTTGGTGGGTGCTCCCGGAGGTTTCCCACATGTGTGCGGGTGGGAATCTGCACACATAAGACCTTTATGTTTCAAACAGCATGTAACTGGCATCCTAATTCAATTTAGGAGTTAGACTGATCAGGGAAAAGTCCTAAGTTTTCTGGCAATGAAATAATGACTCTCCATAAAAGGCAGAGTCAAATGAGTGAAAGACAGTGAGAGAAAAGAGACATACCATGGGAAACAGATGGAGTTTAAATTATATTAAAGGGTAAGATTTCTCCATGGGTGATGGACTCTGGTCTAGTAGAGGATCTTTAATAAGCCTGTGCATTTTTGTAGCAGTGTTCACATCAGCGACTCCAATAAAGACAGCCCAGGTGGCTCAAAAATAAACAAACAATATTGTTCCTGAGAAGTTTCTCATTGTATTTGTCTGGATCAGTTCAGCAGCCCTCATATGTATTGCTTTTTTGGGGTTTTTTTTTTGTACTTTGTTTCTCTCTCATGTGCCTCTTTGTTCCTTTTCTCAAAGGTGACATTGCAATTACTACTCAAGTAAAGGTATTGCTTTTCTACTTTTATGAAGATAATTGATAATTACAGAGCCCCAACATATAGTAGGTGGATATTCATCCAGCAGTCACTGGGGAAAGAATTTATCATCAGAAGCTTAAGCGCTTGTAAGAATGTATAACATGAGGACAATGATTGAACAAAATATAACTTGTTGTAAATCTTAATAAGCACTCCACTTGTGCACACACCAGGGAAGTAATTTCTCTTAAGTTATTTGAGATACTTTCATACACTTTAAATAGGTGTAGTTGTTTCTTTTATTAATGTAGTATTCAATCGAGGGATTAGTCACCACACATTTATAGGAAGTTTTCATGCTACGGGAATTAGCTATAGAATCCAATAAATAGCAACACTGTAACATAAAGCTCATTTGGATAATTGCTCCCTAAAACAAGGCTGGCAGTGCAGTTCTTTTCTTCATTCATCCTAATTCTCTCTTGAATATATATCACTAGAGACTGTAGCATTTTGTAGCAGAAAGTAAATCATACGTTTATGGTCACATTTCATTGTGTTTGGAGACTTTGGAGAGATTTATCATTAGCTTTCAGCTGGTTTAATTCAATCTTTAAATCTTTTATTGATTTGCTTGTTTTATAATTATTTTGACTCAGGGATTTACGATAAAAATACAAACAAAAAAATTACCAATGTACATTTCCCATCTTTTTCCTCACCTGGATGGGTTGAATGAGATCCCTCACCTCCTTTCTTTCCGACCCCCGTATTCTGCCTCATTACTCTGTTTATTTTAGCAGGAAGCTATACCTTTAACACATCTGTGTTAACATTATGGCTTAGGCAAGAAAATATGTCGATTATTTCATCCTTTTTTTTTTTTAATTTTTTTTTTGTTCTCTCTCATTTAAATTTGTTTAATCCCTGCTTGCTAATCAATCTGTACGATATCTTGTGTTTCTTATCTGAAATATTTCAAGAACAAGTTTTCTCTCACAGCTCTTTTAATTTTCTAAGGGACTGCATGATGTCTCCTTGAGTTCTCTCTGCTCCTCCATTCTTCTAAGGATGACCTTTCTTATCATTTTTGCCGTGAACTCTCCTTACCCCTTCTCAGTCAACCGTAGCATGGGTTCTCGACCCAGCTCTGCGTGATGTGTTAGTGCACGTGCTCAACCTGCCTCATGGCAGATGCCCACCGCTTTCCAGTCGGTCCTGGATTTGGAGGGTGGAGCATTTGGGGGCCTTGGGCTGTCAATCTGGAGGTAGAGACCAAGCCAGCCATGAAAATAGGGCTCTAAGTTGGGCAAACGATGAACCCTCTTAAGAAGTTATATTGTTTTGCCTACTTCAGGTAAAAGATCCTTAGTTATTTAGTTATTTGGCTTGCTTTTTCAGCACTGTCTATGTGATAACTGTCAGTGGGCCGCTAGAAATCAAACACGAGTCAGTGGTCCATCACAGTACAAAGCTGTTTTAATAATAGTTTTTATTTATCAAAGTAATAACAAAAATACGGTCCTGGCTGGTTTGGCTCAGTGGTTAGAGTGTCAGCCCATAGACTGAAGGGTCCAGGGTTCGATTCCAGCCAAGGGCATGTACCTGGGTTGCAAGGTCGATCCCCTTCCCTGGTTGGGGCACATGCGGGAGGTAACCAGTTGATGTGTCTCTCACATCGATGTTTTTCTCTCTCTTCCCACCTTCCATTCTCACTGAAAAGCAATGGGAAAAACATCCTCTAGTGAGGGTTAAAAAGATACATGAACTATCACTCTTCCCTTATTTTAAAACACTGGTTCTTTCTATCAGAGAATTCTAATAAAGAACCCACAGAGTCTTATTTCCTTTCTAACCAGGTCTAGTGTCATAAATGCCAAGAAAAACATAAAAAAATGCTCAAGATGATGATATTTTAAAGCTGTGACTATGTAGTCTACGTTCACTCAAAGTCTAAAATCAATGTTTTCCTGATTTTATGTCAAAACCATGAATATAATTATACAGGGCTAGACTTATGCTGTGGGGTTTATATTCTTGTTTTGTTATCTGTTAGTAAGAGTGGGTTTATATTCTTACATATTAGAGAACTTGAATTAGGAAAAATACTTCCAAGCATTTCTGTGAGCAATGCAAGTCCACATTGCACTATAACCAAACAATATTTTACTCTTTCAGTTCACCCCTAATACCAAACACTCCAATACCTGTTAGTTTTTCTCCCTCTGCAAGGCAATAACGCAGGAAAAACCCCAATAACTTTCAACCTAAATATGTATTAAAAAACTGGTCAGGAGGCCCTAACTAATATCAGAACAGTGCTCCGGCCAATAAACATTATTTGCTTGAGAAAGTACGGTAAACTTATTGGCATAAACTGAAATTTCATTGGCACCGTTCACTGTAGAGTAGCACAGACTTGACTTTCGAACCTCGCACGAGGAGGTTTAATTACTGACTTTCTAATAACATTTAACTATACGGTAGTTTCGCTTGAATGGTAATTGCAGTGTGGCAGGATCCGATCTTCAAGAAATATCTTTTGTAGCTTGATATCTTTTACTTTATCATAATTTCCTTTTGTTTTTTCCCCCTGCTAGATTGTTTCAGCGGCTTCAGATATAGTTCATGAGGTCTAGCGCTGCGAGATGTGTTTTGTTCGTATCATTTCTCCGCAAGCCAATTCCTAAGGTTAGTGAATTTAGATATTGTTTAAAACACGTACCAAGCCAAGGAGAGCATGACTATGGGGTTGAGGCAGAGGGAAGATGCTCTGAAGAATGAAACATGACTATACTGCGACAGAGCAACTTAAAGTAAAAAACTATGACGGTCTTTAAAGCTGATATTTTCATCGAGTCCTATCTCCATAGGGAAGATGGATACATTTACACAAAGAACTACATAGTAAGTAATTGATGTTGCAGTGTTTGTGATAGGGTAGTCGAGAATAAATTTTCTGTCTGAGGAAATGGATTTTTCTCTGAATCCTCTCTCCATTTAACAAATATAGGAAAGGTTTATTCTACAAGATATCACAGAATTTATTTCATATAGAGCCTTTCAAATATGATAGTGAACCTGGCGTAAGTACCTGGTCAGTGCGTTACTTGTAGATGAACACCCGGCCCTCGTCCGCTGTGACACTGTGTGCGTTTTCGGAGTGCGTGTTAAGTTGCAGGCTTGGGTAGTGTACTAAATTGTGCCTCCTAACGTACAGCATTATTAGTAAGCTCAGGAATTTTCCTGAAAAAAACGGTGCTGAATGTATTCTTCCAACCTCTGCCCTAACCCCCTTTCTGCACGAGTGAGTGTCAACTCCTGTGTCCACCTAGGTCCAACACTTCCCTAGCCCAGCTGTTCAAAATAGCGTCGCCCCTGGGTGATTGAGCAAGGGGGGCCGATTGCAGCCAGACAGGACATGTTGCCCCCGGGACATGCCCTGCTTCAGAGCCGCACTGCTCGCTGCTTTTTACGGGTGTCCTACATGCATTCCTAATTCAGGCAGGCCTGCCGCAGAATGAGGAATGGAAACACAGAATGTCCTGGTTTCTCAAACTCCGAAAGATGTATTTTTTTTTCTTCCGAACATTACTCCAGGCTGCCTGTCGAGGTCCTTTTTTATCAACTATAGTTTCTTCTTTTTTCATCACTATTAGGAGTATTTCCACAACTCCCTGTGCTTCTCCTGCTATTCTTACCCCTTTCGTTATGATTCTTCGGAGAACCTGGTGCAAACCTAATGGTTTATGTCAGGCTTCAGAATACGCGAGGGAGGGCAGCCAGGGAGTGCTTTGGATTTGGAATATGTAGGCGTAGCTGAGTCCAAAAGAAAGAGAGGAAGACCCATCAGTGTGTCGTTGCGTCTCCAACCCAGGCCCTCTGTTTGGTTCGTGAAGATTATATTGGATCCCCTGCATCCTGGGCACATGACTATTTTCTTTGTTCTACAGCTTTTTTAATGGAAATGGAAATAGAGTCACTATTCAAGGAAAAATGTACTCAACCAATATTTGTACTCTAAGAAAACTCAGAAAGCCAAGGATATTATAATAAATAATATAGATACCTAGTGGTTTCTTATTCCTTGAACGTATATCTGGTGAATTCCTTCCCCTTTCTCTTTACCTCTAATCTGCCCCTGAATAGATTAAAATGGGCTAAAATAAAGTTAAACTGTCCTGGTAGGAGAAGGGTTATTATTAATACTATTGGTGGGGGAAAAAAAAAGACTGAATTACATAGCAATTACATTCCCTTATAGAAAAGATAAAATGACAACTCCATCCTGTAGTGCCAAGTAGAAAATGAGCTGTCATTAAATATTAGCTGGTGTATATTGACACAGTAGGCCTTGAAAGGCGTGATTACCTCAAGAGGAAGCTGTCTTATGAAAGGGTGACCTGTGAGTGACCAGAGCGCTGGCATTCGTGAACTCCTGTGAGAGATACAGAGAAATAAATGGATTTGTGACAGCAGGTCATGATTTGGCAGATTTAGATACTCATTGGATTATATGAATTTAGTGTACATTTTGGCATGAAAAATTATTTTTGACAAACTCCTGGTCAACCCAAGTAGCATGAGTATAAGCCCTATGTGTTCCTTTCTTATCAACACCCATTGCCCACACTCTGATGTGAAACCTTAACCAGTTTTTATACGTGCTATTGCAAGATATTTTAGTTTTTCTCCTTCCAGGTGTCTATGTAAATGTTAGTGTGTGTGTGTTGTGTGTATGTGTGTGTGAGAGAGAGAGAAAAAGACAGAGAGACAGAGGCAGATGGAAGGAGGTAGGGAGGGAAGGAAGACAGGGAGAGAGGGAGGGAGGGAGAGAGGGAGAGAG